GGGGCCCGCACCCAGTCGAGGCCAGGTTCTCAAACACCAGCATGTGACTGACATGGTCAAAGGCGCCCTTTATATCCAGGGCCGCCCGCGTCGTCGTACAGGAGATTCTGTCAAGGGCATCCTCCTTGATTTGGAGCAGGACATCCTGCGTGGAGGTGTGACCAGAGCCCGAAAATGGTGTTCAGGTTGGCATTGAGTTGAATACAGGATGGTCCCCTCAAATATCGCTGTAAACACCTCATCAGGACATGGGCATTTAAAAAACTGGAATGGAGTGTCCAGGTCTGTGACGCTCGGCAGTGTCTCTATAGACCTGATGACCTCTATTTCTTTTGGATCCTTTTCAAGGGAGTATATTTTCCCCTTCAGGATACTTTTCTTGTTTCTGGCACTTACTACAGCAAGAACTGTTTCACCCTCACTTTCTTCTTTGCTTTCACAGCATTCATTTGATGTTAATGCGGAAGGGAATTGGTCGGATTCCACTCTTCGTTCCTCCGTAAAATGTGCTGACGTCCAATACCTTTCGTAAAAAGGGTACTTGAGATTCCAAAAATGACGAAGAGTGTGTAAACATATAATGCCAGCATTTCTTTTTTTTTTTATTTCCAATGAGCAACATCATATCATACCAGAACTCCCCCTAAGTGCACACTGCATTTCACAGCGCGCTAAACTATGCCGGAAAAATCGGCGCCCGCACGCAAAGGGGCGTTGTATCCTCAGCAGTGTATTTTACCTTGAAATTTTAAGGCGCGCCTTTCTTTTGCAGCTAGAACATCCTTCAAAATACTAAACATGCGTTCGCCACGGACGACCGAGTCTTCCGCCGGCAAACGCTGTCGTTTGCATACGATACGCCTTGAAATTTTCACCCCTGGTCGATCAGGCGCCGATTTTTCCGGTTGCTTTCTCATACCTTGTGCCACCCAGAAACACCGCGCGCCCCCGGAAATTAAAAAAAAAAAAATAAAAAAGAAAAAGAATGGAACGGGATTGAGTGTTTTGTTTACTTACCGACTTTGTACGTGGACCGCGCCACGTAGCGCTGCCTGACGCACGCGAGTTTTGGAACTAATTCATTTGACAGTTCCCTCCGAAGATGAAGCCACTGAAGCCACGGCGGTATTCGGACTGGTAGGCTGTTACCTTTCGAACGGGCGGAAGAAGACTATAGAGAATTCAGCAGCGAACGGGCGGAAACTCGATTACGTACAGCGTCAGTAGTCGACGCTTTGTTTTCTCGATTGCGTTCGCGGCGTTCACCGTGGACTCGGGCACTCGGCATCAGCCGAACCAGCTGGACGGCTGCCGGCGCGCGTACCGACAGCGTCGCCATAGCAACCACGCCGCGAGTGTGGTTGCCAGACAGAATTCACGCGATTTTTTTTTCTCATCACTCACGTTGAGTTACTAGAAGTTAGGCGCGTATCATTATAATACATTATGCTGTAAGAAGTTATTAAGGGATATGTGTACCTACCTAAGACAAATGCAGAAACAGTATTGAAAAATAAAATTGGCGTAATCTTTTCATATCTTGATTAAGACCAGCGTGGTCACCGGGCTAACCGATGCGCGAAATAGGAGGGCATATATACCGCTCGGGGCACTTCTCGGTTTGTATAAGTAGGATGTATGTACTATTTGTTGTGAGTTGTGCTATTGGTCAGTGCTTGTGTCCGCGTGTGTGACTGTGTATATGTGCAGTGATGTGTGTGTATGTTCATGTCGTGAATGAATGGGCCGTGCGACGGGCAGCCGAATAAAGTTGAAGATAAAGTAAGTAGGCAGGCGAGCTGGTTGATGTTACACATTTTTGAAAACCGGAGACGACGGACGAAGAAGGGGACGATGGGGCTTGTATTGCAATGCTTTGTACAAACTAAGTGAAGTGATAAAAGATGTACCCTGGCTAAAAGTTGCTGTGACGTGGGCAGTTCCGGAAGACGTGTGGGAGAGATGCTATATAAACGACTGTTCAAATAAAATTTAGTAGCTGCGTTTGAGACGTTTTGTGTGTTGTCCCCTTCTTCGTCCGTCGTCTCCGGGTTTCAAAAATGTGTAGCGAATAAAGTTGCTGTTTTTTTCTTCAAATATTTATTACTTTTTTTTTGTCGCTAGATGGGGGTTGTCGCCGCCCGATTTGAAAAGTATGGCGGTTGGTGATCTATAACTATTAGAGGGCTGGATACCATTAGTCCATCCATTGTGTTGATCGCTCCGATTTATTCCCGCTGGTAGCTGTGTCGCCGTGTTATGCTGCCTGATTGCAACAAAAGGAGGTTAGGCGGCTTCACCAGCGCGTGTTCTATGTGCTGAATGCCGCTGTTCATGCACAAACGTTCATGAGTGGATCACGCACGTAACAGAGGTGAGCACGGGCAATAGTTAGAGCGACACGAAGCGCGAGTGCGATACCTCCTGGCCGCTGTCGACAGAGGGTGTCGGAGCGATTCGTTGTCAACTTGTCGTCCACGGCAAGTGGGCGTTGTGTTCAATAAAGCCAGTCTGTCAGTGTTTGTAAGGCTATCCCTTCTTTATGAACGCTTCTGATGCGATGAAAATGCGACCGGCATTGAGCAGGCCGAGCGAGACTTCGGCGACAATCTTGGCTGTTCAGCCTCCAGCGGTTTCGGCCTTACTCGTATTACTTGCGGTGTTGGCGCTTTGACATAGAGATGTTTGGAAAGATTTTTTCGCCTACAGATGACACCAAACGAGCGTGCGAGCCGTATGCTCTTGCTCCGGCGAGAAGCCGCGTACGGCTTGCCAAGCCTTTTAATCGTATCGCCTGTCGCATACTGGCCGCCATATTGTTTTTAGGGTGTTAGCAGTTACACGATTTTCTTCACCTCCGGCGGCTAACACCCTTACACGAATAAAGGCGTTAGCCAGAGGACGAGCCATTTACACGAATAAGGGTGTAAAAATTTTAAGTGTGTGGCCCACGCCGAAAACCACCCATGTCCTTGATGAAAGCCGCCGGGCACCCATTGATAACTGCAGACCACACGGAGCCCACAAAAGTTGAAACTACTCGCAGCAAAGGAGCCGGATTAGTCCACGTACGAACGGGCGAAATGGGTATCCCTTTCGTTTAGCTCTACTCAGAGATTCGGAGAAAAATATCATTCACGCCCTGTACCTTACGTCCACGAGTTTTTTACTCTGCTGTTGGTTGCGACGGAAACGAATTAGAAATACTAATTATAAGCTAAGTTCTTTGAAAATACGCAATGGGGTGACCGGGGGGGGGGGGGGGGGGGGGGGCGTATTCTGTGCCACTTGTACTTGCATCAGTATTGAGTACATCAGCATTAAGGGCACATTTTAGGTGAAATTCGGATTCTAATGTCCGCGGCAGGGGCAACGCTTGCAACCCGAAGCAAGGGCAAAATATAATATCGGACCTAGCCACTGCAACCTTCAACATCAAGCGAGTCTGGTTAGCGCAGCAGTAACTGTTGAAAACACGCAAATCAGCTCATTTCTGCCACGGTATATCAACGTACTTCTTTGCTTCCGTAGCTGTATAAATAAGCTTTAAGTATCTTTGAAGTCTTTTCTTCTTCCAAATAAGCATAAAAGTTTATCCTTCATCTAAAATGCCTACATTGGTTCGTTTATTAAACATTGCGAAATAGACCAACCACGGCAAGGAGCATAATTTTGCCACCTTAATAAATATTGACCAATGTAACCGAATTATACACTAATAAATGATTAAAAGGTGGTGATTAATCGGGTTACAATTTTACGTGACGCCCAGCATTACGTGGAATGTTAATAACAAAATCATCCTCTTTAGTTGTACATTTAGATTTATTACAATTTATATATTTGTAATATATAAAACGAATATCTAAGGTATAGTATATATAAATGCTGTAACCGCATAGGAAGTTTCTTATTAATCTTGGATTGGTGTTTACATTTTAAACAACTATCTTCTTTTGCAGCAAAAGAACTAATGTATGGAGGCGAGTTTTATAGTATTCCCATGTACAGGGTGTCCCAAAAAAAATTTACAGGTTTTATTTTTTTCACTGAAAAAATAAACTAGGCATCACCGAACGCCCATTCTCCGCCCAAAGAGAGCGCTAGAGGTCACAACCAGATGCCAAAGTTTCAACCCGATCCGCTACCTTATTCAAATGTTATAAGTGATTTTCTGAAAATGTCAATGAGAAAATGGACTCCGATTTCGCCTGTTTTCGGTTTCTGGTGCCATAGAGCCCCATGTATTCCAAAACTCCGTGGGCCGCCATTTTCCCATTAAATTTTCAGAAAATCACTTATAACTTTCAGTAAAGTATCGGATCGCGTTGAAACTTTGGCATCTGGTTGTGACCTCTAGCGCTCCCTTTGGGCGGAGTATGAGCGTGCGGCGATGGCTAGTTAATTTTTGCTGTAAAAGAGATTGTGCAGATTTATTTTTTTTGTGACACCCTGTATGTTGCAAAATAATCGTAAAATATTTTGACCTTGCAAGCACACGTTTGAACGAAAATATAAAACAAACGTATGCTGCTAGTACTGTACCATCTATAGAGTTGTTTTCTAAAGGTTTTATAGTACCTATATAATATATGCATGCCAACAATTTAAATAATGTAATCCGCTGGAAAAAAATACTGCGACAGCGGACAAATTTTATTCGGCGGCACGACAGTTTTCCGCGTGGCGCCAACAACCATTGCTCTGACGCCGTGCACAATGAAAACGCCGTTGGGAGAAATTTGTCACTTGCTCGCCGCCTGAACCATAAGGCCAGATGTCTCGATATAATTCAAACAAACGTTTTCACAACAATCATATTTCCTTCATGAAGTTCAACTTCAACAAGATTTTAATAACTTTGAGTTTTAACTGTTTGGTAATCGAGAATATTTAAACCATACTGAATGAATGTCAATATGTTTAACACCTCAACGAAAAATGCCGAGCGATTCTAGAATTGACAGTGGGGAGCGCAGTACATATTAGAAGATACTTGCCGTATAACCATCTTGGCAACGTAGTATAGCGCCATGCCTCCCCAATCGAGGGTAGAAAGGTAGTGATTCAGCAAATAAGCAGTGTACGTCGCGCAGACAAACATGGCGAAGGTGCCCGTCAGGTCGAAGAGCACTCCCCAATACCTGCACAGAGGAGAATTGTAAACCATCTTCGTCTTGCGACAGAGGTTTTCTATTTAAATATTTATTAAACTTCGAGTGTTTGGTGACATTATAGAAACCTTCAGCGGGCTGCGAGTGACTAGAAAATTGGGGAATAAGTGTGTTTAGAATTGAAGCTCTTCTTTTTCGTTGGCGCGCGTGTATATTTACGAAGGTCGCACAGTGCAGAAGCCTTATCATCCGCGCTTCTTTTTTTTTGTGTGGATTTCTTTTTTAGCAGTGGCTAACTTTATAAAAAGAATATCGTGCGCGGTAGATAGCTATTTTTGTTCTGATGGCGAGTCTGCCTCGGAACCAAAGCCGTTTGGCTCAACTCCTGGACCATCATCTCGCCGTGGCGTGAAGACTGTTTGGACAAACGCAGCAGAAGGTGGCAGCATTGGGATGGCAAACAACCGGGAGCTCCGGGCAGCAGTCGGCAAAGCTTTAGCTTAGTATCTCTTGCAGTCCGAGTGTGGCACTTTTCGTTGTGAATCGGAAATAAGGAAGGCAGCCTGAGCGGGATTTCGAGTCGGTTTCTGGCAGATATAAATTTGAGTGATCTGTAAAAAAATAGACTAGTTACCCGTAGCTGACGCGCTCAGTTTGGAATATGGCAAGACAATATAAAAGCCAGACGTCGTGAAAAAAATATTAGAGCTACGGATCCGAAGAAGGTGAGACTGCCGAAGCTACTGACGAAGCAAGAACCAAAAGCCTACAGAGAAAAAGAGACGCAGATATATAGCGATTAGAAATCGAACAGCAGAAGGTAGCTTTTTGAGCACCAAAAGATGTCAACTTTGAAGTTATTTTTTTCAGCCTTACGCTGTGGGTGGCGAATTCGGGTTATTTGTTTTTTTCACCAATTTAGAGAGCCCATGGCCAAAGATACGGGTTGAAGAGGAGTCGTGACCTCACATGGTTCTGAGTGTGAACTCGGCAGAAGCAGCTGACGTTATAGACGCTTTGCAGCAGCTGTGCATGGGCACCGCCATAACTGACCTTCAGTTTTTGTTTCCCCTTATTACGTTTACTTCCCTTCATTATTACCACAGCAGGCCAGGTTATTGCCATCTTAGATTTTATACTGTCTTTCACCCCAGCATTGGCTTTTGTGGAGGCAGGTCCACATCAATTTCAGTGCCTTGGTATCGAGGTAAAACAAGAGAAGGTCAGCAATGGCGGCTGTATTCTGGCGCGTGTGTAAAGCGCGTATAGTCAAGTTTGGTACAGAACAGGTGGGGTGCTACGCGGAAGTAAAGAGCGCATTATAGAGCCTTTAGATAAAAGAGCGCCATCTGTCGCACGGAAAGAAAACTAGCCTCTTACGCCATCTTTAAGGACACTGTGTCGCTCATGCCAATTTGATCACTACGGGTGGAACCGGCTTCACAATGCCGGGTATCGAAGAACCTTATTGGCCTTCAGGTGTAAAAAAATGTGCCGCGCTGTCGAGAGGAACAATGTCCAAAGTGAAGAACAAGCAAGGAAAACCAACAAGCCCCTTTGCAGTAGTCCCGTATATTCGTTGGGTCATCCAAAATTGCAAATATAGCGAACCGGCAAATACGTTCAAGTTGTGCGTTTGGCACCCAATAAGGCTTATTCCTTATGCCGCAGGATCAATCGGGCAAAAACCGACAAGACAGATATGTGACACCAGGCACAGGACAAAATACGTTCCGTGCCAAGAAGGAGTCGTTTACAGCATACGGATATAGCAGCGCCCCATGTTAACCGTATTTTGTAAACGACTCCTTTTTGGCACGGAACGTATTTTGTCCTATGCCTGGTGTCACATATCTTTCTTGTCGGTTTTTTCCTGATTGATCCTGCGGCATAAGGAATAAGCCTTATTGGGTAAATTAACGACCGTGCTCTTGAACATGTGGACAACCTGAAAAATCATGCGGGACCAGGACACCTCGCTGCCCATTTTCGAACTTGCAAGTGCAAACCAAAGTATGAGCAAGCCTGCATCATAGGGAACCATAAGAACCAGCTTGCAGGGAGGATTTGGCTATAGACAACGAAGAAGAAAGCGATGTGAGCTCCGCCTCGATAACCCTGCAATTTCAAGAAAAGCTCTTCCAGCAGGGCTCCCTCCCGGCTCAATATAAATAGAAGAAAAAAAGCAACACGATTCTGGATAAACAAAAATGGACACGCAAAGGACTATACTTCGTCTCACCCTACGATGGACTAAGGGCAGAAGCTACGAACCGCCAGATCCAATCACGAGCCACTTAGACATTGTGTGGTATTTAGCTTCGAAGCACGTATCGTTGCCCGCGTCTCGGATCACTGGTGGGAATGGGCCGACAGTGGTTCGGATCGAGCAATGAGTGACTCAACAATTTTACATTGCAAAAAACGCCACGGCGTACTGGCTCTTTGCAGTGTCGAAGCTATAAAAATGACGCAGCGTTTTTTGAATTCGGGCATTATTCGTCCAAACCTAATAAATGCTGCGTGTCATAGTTTAGCGTGGAACGTGATTGTACCTGGCGGCCAGTGGCTTTGGCCCTTAGTTCATCGTAGGATGAGACGAAGTATAGCTGAAGAGGAGGACGATTTATAAAAATAGTTTGTAGTTCAGCGATCGGATTTCTTTTCTGTTTCTCCTTCCTTCATTGTTCAGCGGGTTCCACCTGTAATGTATCGTAACTAACTAGCTCGACTCGTCCCCGCAGTAAGTCTGATCACGTTTCAATGTTGCAATACTAATAAAATACGTTCGCGTTTTGTTGTGTAAAATCAGCTGAAATGTGGTTTGGTTGCTCGAAGTAGTTAAGAACCTGCAGTGGTCTTGTTTTCCCGTAATGTGCAGACTAAAAGTCACCCGTGATGAGGGTAGCAACTGCCCGTTTGACGTGGTGAGGTACGTTTGACGCAGAGTTTTGCAAGCGAGGCTGACACTCTACAGATAGAGTTTGTATTTATATTTAGGAAAAGTGTGCGGGTATCGGGTTGGAATACGGTTTTATTCGTTTGGAAGCTTTACTCGTAGAATCGGACGTTATGTCTCCTTGCCTCTGCCTAGCAGTCGAGGCCTCGGGTGGCCCACCGACGTAACTTCGGCTTGAACCCGCACAGAGACAAGACGCTGAAACCAGTATAAGGCTATGCCTGCCGAACACCGGGAGGAATTATTAAAGGGGAAGCGGTCCAAAGATTTGAAGGAGCTGATCAATGCTCTTGCGGAAGCCGATAAACGAACCTCAAGGACGCTTTCAGGATGACTGGCCCGATTCTTCAACGGAGGGCCCTGCCTGCGGAGAACCGTGTTCCGCCCTTTTCAAGACCCTCGGGTTCTCTCCTGTTCGGAGATTGGACAATGACAACTCCCAGGCTCCCCCCCCCCCCCCCCCCCTCCCCTTCGCTCTCGGTGTACGAGGGGAGAAGTTGTGGCGTTGTCACGCGCTATGATAACCGAGGTCGCCGAGCCCGGAAGCGTTACCTTCCGCACTACTTCGTTTATTTTTTCTAGTGGCGGCGAAAACTCTAAAAGGAATATCGTTCCGCCGTAGATAACTTATTATCTTATGAACCGAATTCGTCTTTTCCAACTTTTAGACTATCCACGCCGTGGCCTGGAGACTGTACGGCCAAACCCTTCTATCTCCTAAAATATATCGGGAAAAACAATTTCGGCACATAAACAGCTAACACGTTTTTCAAAGTTGTATCACTACGGTATGTATTAAATTGTGCCGGTGACAAGGCGTAGCTCAGTTGAAATAGAAAGATAGAACATCACCCTTGATATTTTCAGCGGTGAGCACCGACCCAGACACTTAAGAGAATTCCGAACTCATGCCAGAGGGAACTGCTCATGCAAGATAATTCTGCTCGAAGTGCCATCTTCTGGTAGGCACAGAGAACAGACGAGGGCGCCATCTCACATCTCACTCAGTATTTACTGCTACAGGTGCAGTAAATACTGAGATGTGGGGCTCAGTATTTATTGCGGTTAGTGCAGTTAATACTGATGATTCGTGGGGTCATCTCCCACGAATCATGTTCGAGATGGCCCTACGAGCATGATTCGCAGGCCAATGAGTCCTTGAAGATGTCAAAAATAATATATCTGTTGTGTGAATGTTTAGACAGACGAAAGTTAGTCAGCCTCATTGTTCATTTCTATAATGAGAAAGGAGCACGCCGGTGTTGTCGCTTCTGTCGCCTTTTGTTTCATAGAGATCTAGTCTAGGTAATAGAGAGGGGAGCGCATTCAGTTTAATGAGGAGCTTTTCGGATTATTGACGGACGCCTCCATCGGGGATTGGTCGCAAGTGCGCGTGCGCTGCCTTATCGGATGTCTAGAAGGAAAGCAGGCGGAAAGGCGCAGATGCTCGTGGACGACCAACGCGTTCGTCACCTGTAGGTCGTATTGCAAACGCGGCCCTTAAACTATGTGACTCCAATAAAGCAGTTTAAAATTCTCTGTAATACGTGCTCTCTCATTGTTTGCTGCCACCTAGCGGTTGTGGCCGCCTACTCGTTCGGAAGCAATTCTGACGAATTTCCCGGGCCTAGTGTGTTCACGTCATTATTACGTCGGGATTTAGGGCTCTTACAAATTCCTCGTTTTTTTTTTCCGTGGCGCAAAACTTAGGCTCACGTAATCTCAGTGCAGCGGCTAAAATGACCTACGGGTGAAAATTATTTGTTTCCCTCTAAGGTTCCCTAGCAGGGACTTCAGTTATGTCCGCTCTTTCCTATACAGATTTGCATCTTATAATTCCCCTTTAATACGCTTTCCTCTCTATAATACACGTTTGCTAAAAGTTTGACTATTTTACGGTCGGTTTGTGGACGTTTCGAGGTTATTTTGAACAGAGGGCTTGTTTACTATCGAACTATAGGATAGAATTCCCAAAAATGCAGAGTGGCTACTTCAGTAACTATAGATTTCCTAGTTCATTGAGTCTGTAGCATGCACATGGAAATTCAGTGGATGTCGCGAAGCATGCATA